TTCTAACTAGTGATCCTTCACCAAGGAACAAACCTTTGTCATCCTGTTCCTTCCTCGATAAAACTAGATCTCCACTGTTGCTGCTATACCTCAATGACCAAATAGCTGAAGAAAAGACATTTCTTTACAGAAAGATTCAAGCTAAGGGCGCCTGGGTGGCTCAGTCGGTAGAGCAAGCGACTCTTGATCTCAGAGTCATGAGTTCAAGCCCCATGCTGGGTCTAGAGATTAGTTAAAAATTGCAAGGAAGAAAAAAGAAGAAGAAGAAGAAATGGAAGGGGAACCTAAAGATTACAAAAGATTGTAGAGACATAGATATAGAGATTCAGTATGTTAACCAATTGCATAAACCTCATTCAGGTCGTTATTAAACTAAACAAATGGTACAAACATGTATATGAGACAATGGGGGAACTTTAAATGCTAACTCATTGATGATTTTAAGGAGTTACTGTTATTTTTTAGGTGTGGTAACAGTATTGTAGTTATATTTTTTAAAGGCTTGATCTTTTATAGGTACACACGGAAAGAGTTGTGGATAAAATAATATCTTAGATTTGCTTCAAAACAATCCAGGAGTAAGAGAGGAGGGAGGTATATATGAAACAACAATAATTACCATAACTTGTAATTATTGAAGCTGGGTGATGGGCACATCCTGCTTACTATACTATTCTCTCTTTTTATATATGTTTGAATTTTTCTGCAATAAAAGGATTTAACAATGAAAAACACAAGCATTTTTCAACTTGTTTGGTAGTCAAGGAAGCCCAGTATGAATATCAATTCTGAGGTAATGTCACTGGGTTGTTTTATTTTGTTCTTAACTTTAAAGAAAAAAAGATTTTTTTATTGGGCACCTGGGTGGTTCAGTCAGTTAAGTATCTGCGTTCAGCCCAGGTTGTGATGCCGGGGTCCTGGGATCGAGCCCCGCGTCGGGCTCCTTGCTCAGTGGGGATGCCTGTTTCTCCCTCTCCCTCCGCCCCTGCTTGTGCTTTCTCTCTCTGTCAAATAAATAAATAAAATCTTAAAAAAAAAAAAAAGTTTGATTGATTTATTTGAGAGAGAGAGAGAGCTCGTGCATGGGCATGGGGAGGGGCAGAGGAGAGAGAGAGGAAAAGCAGACTCCCCGCTGAGCAGGGAGCCCAACATGGGGCTCCATCCCAGGATCCTGCGATCATGACCTGAGCCGAAAGCAAGATGCTTCACCAACTGAGCCACCCAGGCACCCCTGTCACAGGGTTGTTTTACAATAACATTTCTGGATAGTCCTTCAAAATTCAAAAATTATTTGAATTTCAGGTCTCCCACACTTTGTGTGGCCCGGGTGAGTATGGGCAAGTTTTGAGTAATCCAGTTAATGTTAACACATATTAGAAACATTTAAAGTTTTTTCTACAGAAGAGAGAACGAACATCCTTGTAACTGTCACAGTTGTTTGCTCAGGCATACCACCCATGCTGCTCTGACCCTGAGTCAGAAAACAAGAGGGTTGCCAATGGAATGAAATGCCAGTACAATTTTGACAATTACTTAATATACCATTGATGTGCCTGTTAGGAGGAAACGGGATTCATGTTCGATTTAAACTAATTCTTTTTATTTTTTTAAGATGTATTTATTTATTTGAGAGAGAGCACGAGAGAGTGGGGATGGGGTGGGGCAGAGGGAGAGGGAGAGAGAGAGACTTAAGCAGACTCTGTGCTGAGTGTGACGTGGGTGGGGCTCCATCCCGTGACCCCGAGCTCATGACCTGAGCCAAAACCAAGTCAGATGCTTCACCGACTGCGCCACCCAGGTGCCCCTGATTTAAACCTAATCCTTTATGTGCTTCTTATTTCAGATTAAAATAGAGATAGTGTGGGGCGCCTGACAGGCTCAGTCAGTGGAGCATGCGACTCTTGATCTCAGGGTTGTAAGTTCGGGCCCCACGTTGGGTGTAGAGATTACTTAAAAAGGAAAAAAAAAGAAAGAAATAGTACTAGCCAGGGGCGCCTGGGTGGCTCAGTTGGTTAAGTGACTGCCTTCGGCTCAGGTCATGATCCCAGGGTCCTGGGATCGAGTCCCGCATCGGGCTTCCTGCTCAGCAGGGAGTCTGCTTCTCCCTCTGACCCTCCTCCCTCTCATGCTCTCTCTCAAATAAATAAATAAAATCTTTAAAAAAAAAAAAAAGAAAAGAAATAGTACCAGCCCAGAAACACGTCTGTTTAAAAAAACTCACCATGTGATTTTTCTAGTGGATATTAAACATCAGCTGAGGAAACATGCGGTTAGGACTAGGACTTGAAGAGTGGTTCAACCTCCTCCACGGGTTATTAAAACTCCAGTCCTAAATTAGGACCAAGCATTTCTAAACCAGTAAAAATGTGTAGCTGTGGCAGGGAGAGGGGAGGAACCAGCTTACTCTATAGAGGCTTACATTCTTTGGAAAAAACCTTCCTTCTGGAATCTGTGCAATAGGAGGCAGGTACCCCTCGGGGTGGGGGGCAGTTACTCCTTATCACACAGGAAGCTCCATTCCCAGGGGCCTCTGCTCTCCCCTCCTCCTTCCTTTCCTACATGAGTAAACACCTGGGGGATTCATCAAAGCTTCAAAGTTTGGTGACAACAGACAGTGACAGATTGGTGCCCTGCAGCCCAGGTGAATGGCAGCACGGTGGCCCAGACTGATTTCAGGCCAAACTTACACTTGGCACCAGAGGCACCTACAGAAATGTAGGGGCCTATTTTCATTTTTCAGGAAAGGAGAAAAGCAAGTTATTTTCTGGTGTCCAAACTCAAACACTGGACACTGTACCAAGTGGAATGCTGTGCCGTTTTCCATTTCATGGGCCTGTGTTTGTGTTTATTAAGTTCTCTGCCCAACGTGGGGCTTGAACTCATGACCCTGAGATCAAGAGTCACATGCTCCACCAACTGAGCCAGCCAGGCGCCCCTTGATTTCATGGACTTTCTATATGGAGTCATAGCAAAGAAGAAATTATGTGAAGAAATAAAACACCTCCAGAAATTGAGGGGAAATTGAGGCAAATTAGCAGAATCACTGAATGACATCATAGAGAAGGCCCTTGGGAGCCTACAATCCAATCTCCTTACCTTATGATGATAGCAAAGTAGACCCAGAGAGGGGACCTGACTTTTCCCAAGTCTCACAGCATGAGGCTTAGGACTCACTTCTGATTCCCAGAGCAAGGCTCTTCATGCTGGTCCGATAAACACGATATGTGGCAGTGCAGGGGGGAGGGGGTGGCCAAAACCACAGCTTAACCAGGTTAAGGACTGGGCGGAGCCACCTAAGCAGGCACTTGAAAGAGCTTCAGGGAGGCTGGCTGGCATAAACCCATCCGAGAACTGCCGACCTCAACCTCAGGGGGTCATCTCAGGTGGATGAATTGGCGCACACAGGTCTTTCTGGTCTGCATCAAGGCTTTTGAGAACTCACCTAAGTTCAGAAATTTGAAAGTAACCTGTAACATCAAGGCATGGATCGGGCCGGGCTGTCCCCTCTAGGCTAATTCTGAAATTTCTCCCTAAGGCAAGTCAGGAAGAACTTCGACTTGGTCCCAGCTGAAACTCTCACTGAAGCTGGGTGGCAGCCTCCACCAGCTTTACCCTCTAGACCTGTCCATTTGCCTCAGGGATGCTCACTGCTTACCTGGCCCTGTCAAACTGTAACCTCAAACCTAAGAGTGTCTGTCAGCATGGGCTGGACTCTGGCCAGCATCATCAGAGGGCTGTGGAGGGGGTATCCTGGCCCTCTCACTACAGGACGGGAGGGACACCCTCTACGCCACCTCTCCCTGCAACCCCATAAATCTTTGAGAGGCGCTGGACTTTGGAGCCAGCTAGAGATGTACATGGGGCGAAGACATCACAGATTGTCAGGGCACTCTGTCTTATTCCCTAGGAGCCTGTCCCCTGCAAGGATGGGGGCACCCTTAAACAGCCATGAGGAGGGGGGAGACAAGCAAAGCAAGTAAGAGCAAATGACAGCTGGGTAGAGACCCACCAGCCTCTGAAAACAGGGCAGAGGGGGCCCCTAAGGATTCAGCCAGTTCCATAAACCTGTGTAGAGTGGGCACAGGACTCACACATTCACCCCTACCTTCCCCAGTGCTAGATGGCCAGGGGAGCCAGGCTGCCCTCCAGAGCTCAGACTGTGGGGCTTGGGACCTGGGCAAGGGCAGGAACTTGCTACAGCTTCATTCACTGCCTCTGTCTTCCCTAAATAACCCCGCCCGCAGCACCCAAGACCTCAAGGAGCGAGGCCACAGTTCTTGGTGTCACCTGAAACGCCACTCCAGCCTGCCCAGCCTCCTTGCCCCTTGCCCAGCTGCAAGAACTTTCCTTCCTCCCAAAGCGACTCTGGATCAGGTCTCCCGGCTGAGAGACCGGCCCCAGCGCGCCCGATCGGGACGGGCCTGGCGCACGGGCGCGGCTGGGTCGTGCCGGGACAGCTCCACGCTGCCTCCTGGGCCGCCGCGGGCCACTACAACTGCAGTCCCGGCTGGGCGAGGAGAGAGGCTGACCCCTCCGAGAGCCAGCAGGGAAGCGCCAGACTTGGGGTGCGGGGCAGTCAGGACGAGGGAATCGGTTTGGCTGGTGAATGAACGAATGAGTGAATGAATGAATGAATGAATGAGAACACTGTTGAAAGAATAGCTATGGTGGCGGAGACGCGGTAAAAGGCGTCCTAAGGAGGGTGCCCATCCTGATGCCGCCCGGACTTCTCTCATCCCCCAGGTACGGGGAGCCGACAGCCGGGCCATCTATCCCCTCGCCAACACCTCGCAGTCCCCGGAGGCGCCCGGGCCCGCGCTGCGCAGCTCTGGAGCGGAGCCCAAATGCCGGTGGCCGGGAAGTGCCTGCCCCGCGGCCAGAATGTGCCTAGGCGCAGGGGCCCCCCGCGGCCGCCTCGCCCCGCCAGGCAGCGCCCCTCGCGGCAGCCCCCGGACCCCCCGCCCGTCCCCCAGCCCAGCCCGCGGGCCTCAGCCCCTTACCTGCCCGCCTCGGCCGCCTCGCCCCGGCTCAGAGCGGTCATCGCGGCGCCTCCAGCGAGCGCCGGGAACCGCGCGGCCAGACCCCGCGCCCGTCGGCCCGCCCCCGCCCCCGCCCCGAGGGCCCGCCCCAGCCCGCCCATTGGCTGCTCGCGCGGGACGAGCCCCGGCCCTTGGCCGTTCCTCCTCCAGGTTCTTGCTGGAGCTCTGCGCAGATTCTACCACTCCTACCTCCAGACCAGCAAGTCCGGGTGGCCCGGGCCTGGGTCTGCACCTCCTGCCCTTCCCAGCGGAGGCCTTGGGTCCCCTCCAGGTTCTTCCTCCTCAGCCCTCCCTCTGCAGCAACCGGTTCCCGTCCTCCTCTAAACCCTCCCGACTCTGAGCTCCAGGGTAGGTTTCTTCTCCCCACACCAAAGGTGACATGAGTGAGGGAGCACAAATTTTAAAACAGGATAGCCCGGGCAGTCGGAAAGCCCGGGAGCCAGGATGCTTTCGCCCATTTCTCCAAGTTGGGTCCTGGGGAGGGACTGACGCAATGGCCAAAAATCAAGTCGGGAAGCAAGACAAGTAAAGCTGAGTGGTGCAATGCCCTGGGCCTTGAGAATGCGGTCAAAAGCCCGATTCCCCGAGCTTACCCGGCCTTCAGGACCGGTCCCTCCTGCCAGGTAGGGCTTGATTCTTGAGGGGTCCGGAAAGGGAAGGTGCAAGCCAGATCTCGTTCCATTCCTAAACCTCTACCAACCCCTTGGTCCCGTTATCGGGGGGTAGGACATTGGCAGACAGGTGAGGCACAAAGGGAGCCCAGAAATATTCTGGAAACTGGGAGCAGAACCTGGTGTTCTCCTACAACGCCCTTACATTAGGGTCCTCTGCTGCATTAGACCTACCCGACCAGAGCAGGAGGGAGGGGGGCCTTGTTGCTGCCCTCTCCTTTTTGGTCCAAATAAGCCAATTAAGATGTCCCCGCTGCAGCTTTTAGAGACCCGGCTACCACCTCCTGAGGGTGATGAAGGGATAACCTATCTCAAGACAGCTCCCGTTTTCCCAGCACCTCTGCACCCCGCGGAGGACACGTTGCGGGTGGCCTGGGTCACCACACAGGCGCGACCACCAGGAGGCGCAAGGGTCTTGCCACCCTCACCCTACTCAGAGGGCAGGATTCACCCCCACCCCCCCCATCAGAAAAGCCATCAGAAAAGCGAGGAAACGGGTGCTTCAGCTGTTTATTGACACACAGGTAGGCTCTATAGCAACAGGCCTGGGGGCGGCTGCAGCAGTGGGAAAAATGGAGGGTGGAGGGTGGAGTGTTTGCCTGCAGTGACAGCTGAGTGTAGGAACATAAGTGCACAACGCACACAAGGTGGGAGTGGGGGAGCTTGAGGGGGGTGGAGAAGCAAGTGAGGGCCTGAGCCAGTCTCCTTAAACTGGAACCAATGCCCTATGCTGCTACTCTTGCTGGCGGTCTCTTGACCGCAGGCCAGGGTTGGGAGTTCTCTGGGTATCCGTTTTCTATAGGTACTGAATGGAGTAGGCAAAGGACGATAAGCAGGAGCTTTTGCCCTCCATGTTAAGCTCTGGGGCTTCCAGTACTGCAGCCTTCCTTTGTCCCTTGCTTGGGTGAGGTCACATGATGTGCAACCCAGCTCTGGGTCACCTCACCCGAACAGGGTCCTAAAAAACAGTCATGTTTTACAGAGGCATTAATCTTCCCTGGCATCCCAGCCCACCAGTGCCACGTGACAGCCCCCAAGTGAGCACTACAAGCATTGCGGGCCTAATGGATGGGTTGGGGAAAGGGGATGGGCCAGGGGCTGGAGGAGGAGGGGCTCTGGGGCCCATCAGGGCACAGGAACGACACGCATGGTGTTGGTGAAGCCGGAGCCAGGGCGCCACCCGGTCAGCACAATGACCACATCGCCCTTCTTGAAGAACCCTCGGGCCTTGCCTGAAGGAAGAGAAGAAAGGTTGATGAGTAAAAGCCGAGCCAGGCAGGTGCGCACCTAGCCGACTACCCGCGGGAGGTAGCGAGCAGGGCTGACGGGCCATTACTGCCTTACACCACAAGGTGGCGCAAGCCTCCCAGCCCAGGCAACCGGGAAGGGGGAGGCCCTGCCCTGATACTTCCTGATCAATCAGATGGCAGAGGTGCCAGGGACCTTTGGACATCACTCATTTTACACTCTAGAGGGTAGAGTGCTTCCTCTCCTCCACTGATATCCTACTTTATCAGGGACAAAGGCCACGAGTACATAATCTGTGTGTATGGCACCCCACGGTGTAGAAGCTATGGCTAATTTTCTGTTTTTAACTCAGTAATGAGCAGATGCCCAAGAACGGACATCCCTGACTATCCAGGATCCTCTGCTTTGAGCCCCAAACTGGAAGACAGAGAGGAGAGAAGTGGGCAGCTCAGCCCAGAACTTCAGGGAACAGGAAGGAGGATTCAGAGAACATTCCCAGGGATGACAGCGAGGACTCCTGCACAGCCTAAGGTCAGCGTGTTCCCCCTTCTAGAGGATCCTAAGGAGACCAGTGCTCAAACACTGTTCCCACCCCTCCAGGCTCTAGCCCTTGCTCCTAGCCACGCACCAACATTCATGGCCAAGTTCACCCGGAGGTCCACATCCTCAGCCCAGGCCTCCTGCACTGGGTCCTTACACACCACAGGAAAGATGCCGCGGTACAGGTGGGCCTGGCGAGCAGTCTGGTGATTCCGGGTCACAGCAATGATGGGGGCGCGGGGGCGGTATCTAGCCACCTGGTGAGCAGACCTGAGATGGGATGATGGACGGGCAGAGGAGACCATTAAACAGTGTTCCAGAGCCTCCCAGGATACCCCGCAGGGCCTTCAGCACCAGCTCACCCTCTAAATCCAACTCACTCTGCCAGTATGAGACCCTGTCCATTTTAGCATGTGCTCCCGATGCCGGGGCAGCCCCTCGTCCTCTACCTTCCAAGGAATAGAAGACGACTCTTCTTATGCCACACTACCCAATTGCCTTCCTCCCCACCCCACAGACCAGGGCCCCAGGATCATACCGACCCAGCATGGTCAGTATCACCCATTCACCCAACATGGCCCGTAGTTGGCAGAACCCCCTCCTCTGAACTTTTCCATCCTGGCACAGATACAACCCTGCCCAATCTCACCTGCACCCATTCCTCTTGCTGCCAGCAACAGCTACAAGCCAAGCAGCATGTGAATAGCACCTGACTCTTTGACATCTGCAAAGAACAGGAGCACAGCCCACCAGCCCCCCCCCGGGAATCTACAACACAAGCCTTCTCTCCTGCTGTGCCCTCTCCCCAGCCCACAGGGCCCCCACATCCCTGAAGCAGTCCCAGCAACTGGGCTCGAGAGCCAAACCTGAGTATTTCTGAGCAAGGCTTCGAAATCTGGGTGTTACCCAGGAGGAAAGACCAGGAGATGGGAAGGTTGGTGTGGGAGGCTCTGCCTGTGAAGGCCCCTCTGGAAGGTAGGGGGCCCCTTGGAGCCCCAGCGCCAGATGCTTCCTTGAACACAGACACTACCCTTCTGGTTGTAGATGTGTCTGGGGAGTTGGGGAGGGGCTTGCTTACAGGAGGCCCTGGGCCTCAGAAAGCAAGCTCTAAGAACACTCAACAGGTGTCAGGGAAACTTAAGCCACAGCACAGCAGAGAATGCCCCGTTTAAAGGCCTGGCCCCATACAAGGCTTTCAGAGGGAAGCAACTGGTGAAGTCGGGACTTGCGAGAGTGAAATCCCAGAAGACTGGCACTAAAAATAGCCAAATAGCAAAGGCTGCCCCTTTCCACAAAGGTCAACTCTGATGGCAGGAGCTGTTTATCCTGAGCCCTCTGCGGCAGCAATCTGCACAGATCTCATGCCCTGGTCCTACAGGCAGCCCCACTGGCCGTGCCTCGGTGCACAGGGCCAGTCATGAGGAGCACACTCCCAGACAGGGGCAGTGACAGAGGCTAACTCCATGGCCGGACTTCGAAGAGATCCCGAGTCTAAGTCTAAGGCCAAGCATAGGCCTCAGCTTGGTTGCACAGCACCAGAGTGCCCGCGAGACAACATGGTGACCTTTCTGGTCCTCAACCCACTTGCCTTGGGGCCCAAAGACAGACAGGGACAGGTGCACCAACCAAACAGCATGTCGGTGGACAGCACTGATTTTCCAAACAGAACTTTTCAAGAGCACATAGTAGCTGGAATGAACAGAACTGGCCAGCTTTTACTTTTTTAAAAGATTGGCTGGTAAATAATCAAATAAGCATCTGTAATCGGTCTATCTGTAGTTCTGTAATTCTCTAGTTTATCTTAAGGATGTAAACTTGCTTTGGATGCAAATGCCCCGACACCATCGGTGGGCGCTGTCTGTGGAGTCCTCTGGGCCCAGGGGGCAGGCAGACGGGTCTTACCTGGGCTCAGCGCGATCCGAGCCCTGTTCAATGCACCGCTCTCAGGACGCCCAAGGAAGGTGCCCCAGAGCAGGGCATCCCTGGGGAGCCGCCGCCACCTCCTACCTGCCAGACTTGGTGAGGACGATTATGGCCCCACTGCAGCACTTGAAGGAGGCCTCCACGGCGCCCACGGCGGCGGCTTCTGTGGGGTCGTTGGTAATGGGCGCCAGGCGGCGGAGTTCCTCAAATAATTGCAAGTGGTAGATGGCGGCCTCTGCCTCACGGGCAATCTAGTGGGGGGCGATATCCGTCCAGAGGGACAGGAGGGGGACAGAGCTTTGTCAGAGCCGCATCACGGGGGGGGGGGGGGGGGGAAGAGTCGCCCAGACGGCTGGTGAGGAACGTGTCCCTGGCTGTGAGGCCAAGAGAAGGCCAACCACCAGAGGTGCTGAGCTGAGCAAGATCCAGACTCATAGGAACAAGCCCTTCACCAGCGGCCGGTGACACCCACTGCGCCTACCGAGCCAAAGGCCCTTCTGGCCGTGCCCTGCCCTGACCTCCCTGGCTGGCTTCCTGCAGACGAGAAGAGGATTGGAGCCCAGGCCGCAGCTGCAGGGCCCTAGCTGCCTTCTAGATCAGCTGGAGCAAGAGGCTGGTTATCCTGCGG